CCATTCCCTTTAGAATGGTTGGTCTGTCTTTGATGGCAGTCCTCTCTACTGTTCGAGCTAAATTTCTTGATTTTCCCACCGTTAATCTTTGGTTCAATTTCTTCATGCTTCGGTTGTTTGCAATAATTCCTTTGTCAATCTCCATTTGAGTGCTCCGACGATTTCGTTTGACCGTTTCCTTGCAGTTGCAAAGTTTAATGCTTTTGAACTTTGATTTCTGATCTATTGCTATCTTCATTTCTCGTTGTTCCTTAATGATGATTGATCCTTAGTCCTTAGTTCATTCGTTTGTCTGTCTTTGATGTCTTTGTTACGGAGACGCATGCTTTCTGCCATTTCTGTAATCGCCTTCTTTATGTTCTTAGAAATTAGACAAATGTCGACTCCTTGTCCTGTTTCTTTTTCGTGCTTCCTTGAACGACGTAGAATCTGTCATTTAATTTGAGTTATAACAGAGGGAGATTCTTCTTTATTGCTTCTACGTAGAGTAGCTGTCATTTCAACAATCTCCTTTCTAAAGCTGAATCTAAGCGCACTTTGTATCCGACGAGCCTGAGAACATTTTCTGACATTAAACCTGTTCAGCAACCTGTATTATATTCTTCAAATTACTGGGGATGAAATGGACGATTTCATTCTTGAAGTCGTGGGCATATTCGTGTTCATTTTTGCTTGGTCTTTCATGGAAAACTGTGTTTCTATAATTAATGGCTTCTTCATTAAACTCTGCTAGTCGGTCACCCCTGTCCTTGCTTTCGCTGTAACCGAAGCAGGACTGCTAATGAATCTGAAAAAGTCTCAGGTCATGTTCAACAAATACGTGACCGCGCGACCTGTTGAAATCAACGGCTTGAAGAAGTGCAAAACTAGGTCTATCTGAGACAGCTCGTAGCACTTTTGCCAGACTGAAAATATTCCCTTGTGCTTAAAACAAAAAGTTTCCCATCAGTTTGTGCAGCCAGTAGTTACGTATAAATGAGCGAAAATGAACCCTAAGCCTGA